CAAAACGATCTTGAACCATGTGTTCTTAGCAGCTGCTGTCTGTTGTCCTATGAGAGACAGTCATACTTGGGTACTTTGCCATCTGTAATGGGCACCAACTTCTAAAGGAAATCAGTGAATCATCAATATTATTCCTGTGACTGCATATGTTTTCATGAGCTCATTCAAGGAGAATGTAGCTAAATGAATTGAACAATTAATTCTTCTCAGAGGACTCCAAGAATGGTCAACATGAACTCATGGAAGAGGAGCTTTTAGGAGCTTCTAGTTATGATGAGTGTATATCTGAGGCAGTAGGACAACTGCTGGAGATCCCAAGGATTAAACTTTGGTTAATCCATTGATCTTAGCACAATATTCCAGTGTAGTTATGCTGCAAGACTTAAAGGGGGAACCAAGGCACCTTATGGTTTCATATTCACTCCACAGAGTATCGAGAGCTATGGCTGAGCTGAAGGGAGCACATGCTCTTCTCAACGCCACACGTTTTGCCATATTATGATCTGCCATTGCGGTTCTTCTCCCTTTCTCAAGAAGAACCTTCACTTCACAGTAGCATCCTTAGAAAGGTTTCTTTCAGGCCAGAGAGAACCTGGGGAAGAACTTGGTATAGTATCTCCAGCTTTTCTTGGAATCTGTATGAAAAAAAGGTTCTCCGTGTTACATTCATCTAAGAAAATTTTAGAAGGTATATCAAAAAAAGGGAACACAAGGGCCTTGCACATGCGTATGTGTGACTTATTTATTTATTTATTTATTTATTTATTAAACAGATTTATATGGCTGCCCAGCTCACACACAGTGACCCTGGGTGGCTTACAAAATTAAAAACCCATAATACAAAAAAACAAACAGATTTATATGGCTGCCCAGCTCACACACAGTGACCCTGGGTGGCTTACAAAATTAAAAACCCATAATACAAAAAAACAAACAGATTTATATGGCTGCCCAGCTCACACACAGTGACCCTGGGTGGCTTACAAAATTAAAAACCCATAATACAAAAAAACAATAACCCTCCATTAGATGTTACCTAGTTGGGTATTGAAACATCTGCAAGAAAACAACCAAGCTCAGAGAGCACCAAGGACTCTACAGTTCAACCCTGAGCTACAGATATTAGTTTGCTTGGTACTTGGTAACTCCTCTCAAGCCCCGATGAGTGGCATAAGAAAGAGGAAGGCTCTTACAGATGGCTCACAATAACCTATCAGTTGAGAAGCATTTGTTGGGGTGCATTCATGCTTCTGACTCAGTACTTGCTGTGATCTTGCAAGAAAACTGGAAACAGTTATAATCCCACTGATCCCATTTCTCCTTCATTTCAGGGAAAAGCTTTAAGATTACCAGACCAGGAAGAAGTTGAATGATGAAAGGAGACCTTCTTCAAGAGCGTTGGTTAATACGGAGCAAGTGATTGGGATTAGTCACTCTCATGATTGCTTTCAATATTTGTAGATGATGGTTTACGGAATCTTTCGTAAGACTAGCAACAGCAGCACTGGATGTCGTGGGGCAAAGACCAGGGTCTGCAATGGCTGACGCTGTCTTAGTCCTGCTCAGCATGAGCATGAGATGAAACAGCCACGTGCCTTTACTATCGGAGGGCCCAGGAGCCTTCCGACGGAATGAAGCTACTCATTTTTCAGCTTTGTCTTGTGGATCTCAGTTAAGCATGCAACTCATCCTACAGCCTGGACGAGAGCTTTAGGGCAAGAATGGTGGCTGCCTTGTGCCAGGCATGTGAAGACAAACCTTGGGCTGCTGTGACCTCCTTTCCCTGGGGGTGTCTGGGGGGTGGGGGTCCAAAAAGACAAGATGGCAGCCCATCTTGACTTTTTGGATGTCCCTCCCTCTATCCCTGGGGTGTTATCAGTGTTGCTTATAAACTGCTGCTTACCTTCTAGCTCTTCAGCTTAATGAATTAGATGCTGTCTTTTTTAGTTGAATAAATCTCTCAGTGACTTTCCTCGGGAGGGTTGGTACAAGTGTAAATAGAAAACGACACAATGACTTTGGCCAAAGAAGGTGTACTGTTGATGGTATACCTGGATCTGGGTCTGAAAGCGATTAACCTAAGAGACAAAATTAGCTTAAGCCATGGTGATTGATTTCGATGTACGTAATTAATAAAACAATACAACACATGACTTCCGTTCTTCTTTGCATTTTCTTATTTCGTTGCGGTGTGGGGTGAGCTCTGTTCTTCCTTCCTTGGTACCTTAAATTTCAGCAAACCAGTCTGTAATCTCGTTGACCATCTCTTCAAATTCTCTCCAAGATGAACGTTGCTTTCTGGGTTTTAAAGCGTTATTGATCACTGTCTTAATAATTAGGTATTTGAAGAGTCACAGATTTGTAAAAGGAGCTCATTTGGATAGTTGTAATTATCATCATCATCATCGTTGTTGTTCTTAGCATTTGGCCCGCTGGTCTTGTTTAGTACTCACAAGAAAAGCTATCCATGCACGATGGGAGGTTTTGTTTTTCCACCACTTTGTCACAGGGCCTGATGCTCACTGGGGCGCAGAGGGAGGGACTGGCCCAAAGCCACCCACTTGGCTTCATGCTAAGGGAGGACTAGAACCTGCATCTCCTGCTGTTCATCCAGCACCTTCACCACTAGACCACACAGGCTCTTGGACTAAGGGAGGGACTGGCCCAAGACCCCCACTGAGATGCCATGGCTGGGGCGAACTAGAACCCAGGTCCCCCCAGTCCTAGTCCAGCACCTTCACCACTACACCATGCTGGCTCTCTCAGTTACCATCATTATTGTGTCACTTACGTAAGAAACCAATTGCAGTTTTAGCATTAAAAGAAAACCGAAAGAGCATCCAGAACAACGAATCCTCTGCAGATGCCTCTGCTTACACTGAATTGGCTTGGAAGATGGAGCCTTGTTACTCAGAGATGTAATACAAGAAACCTCACATTAAGGAATCGCTTGTGGTTACGCACAGCCATAACAGACATTTTATAAGAAACCATCAGAATGAAGAAGAGCCAGGAAATGCAACAGGATTGGAGAGACCATAATCTTAGTACCAAAGTTCAGTTTAATTTGCCTGAGGACTGAGATTTTTCGCAGAATGGGTAGAAGTGATTCTTTTTTTCCCCTCCAAATCATGAAATGGGGTTCTGGTCAGCTGCTAAATCCTGCAGTTACTAAGTTATGGAAGAGCCCTGAAAAGGTCAATTCAGTATGCAGCTGCAGGGAGAAAAGGCTAACTCAACATAGTAGTATTAAGAAAGTGAGAGAAACATTGTTGGAAGTATTATAATGCTTCTAGGTCTCGCCCTCCCAGCTTTATCCTGGAGGAGATCATGCGATTTTGCCAAGGACCACATTAAAAAAAGCTTTAGGAAATATATTCAAGAGCAAGAGTCAGTCAAAATCCAGATATTTTACTGAAGCCATTCCACAACTGCAAAGGATCATGTCCTCAAGGGTATTGTTTGTGAGAGGAGGAGGCCATCCATGCATCAGGAATCCCACACAGACCCAAAGCAAAATGGGGCAAAACGGTCCAGAAAAGAAAAACAGTCAAATTGTTGTCCTTAGGATGTCCAACTGTGCAACTCATGCCTACTCTGCTGGCTGAGGAGGCTTGATTGAAATACTTTTTTTTGGGGGGGGGGGGGAGGTTGGATTTCTTCTTCCATTTTTCTTTAAAGTATCTCAGAGATAGGCAAAAGGTTCACAGGGGAATCCCACGCCTGTGTTGAAGTACTCAGAACCACAGCAAACCATGCAAAGCACCTTCTGCATGTGGGAAAAGCCACAGGGCTTCCTTGGAGTTCTGGCTTGGCTGCTGCTGCAGGAGAAACCTACAAAGGCAGGGGGATAATAGAGTGTCCTCAGAAGCTGGGAAGCAGGTGGCTTCTTACTGTCCAACCTCCCTTTCTGGGAGAGAAAATTCAGGAAAGAAACAGGGCAGATGGATAGGTGAGCTGCTGATTTCCCTGCTTCTCCAGAGGCCAGCCAGATGGTCTTCTTGCTCACCTTGCCTCATCCCACCCAAATCCCAAAGATCAGCCACAAACACTGCAGGAGCAAGTGGGGGCTGAAAGAGCCTGAAGTGGCTGAGTGCCGAGTCTATGTCTGTGTGAGTGGAGGCTGAACTTAGAATCTAGATTATCCAGAGTTGGGCTGAGAGACCGTTGTCAGCCAGTTCTGTTTTGCTGTTCTAGTCCTGTGGCTGCCACGGAGGGCAGAAGCCTCCAACCCACCTTTTGCACAAATGTAGGAGCATAATCAAGCCCAGATAAAAGTTCTACTGGTGGGAAGGGTAGATGACCTAGACACAGAGATACCATCCCCTGGACAGGACTGTCTTCATACCTGTTCAGGTGCTTGGACTGAACTCAGATTGCCACCCTCAACTCTGGCAGCGAACCCTGTTGCCCAGCTGACCTCCCTCTTGAGGCTGCTTCTGAAGACTGCCTAGAAATTTAAGTTGGTGCAAAATGGTTCTTAGTTCTCACATCGTTCAACTTCTCCGCTCTTAAGATGGTTTTGGGCCAAGTCCAGGGGCTGGCTTTGACCTCTTAAAGGCCTGAGAAGACCTAGACAACCAATGCACTTCAAACCTCGGGGCAACGGCCCTTGCAGGGCTGTGCTCTATCAAGTGTGCAAGTAGACATTAAGGGAGGCTGTTCTCATAGAAGGCATCCGGGGGGGCTGAACGCTGTGTGCACCTGGTGAAGGAAGGAGGTGAGCCAGACAGGCGATTCTCCCAAGGGTGAAGAGAATGTGGAAGCCCATCCTCCTCCTCCTCCTCTTCCACCCTGCCTTTCAAAAAACCACCATGGGCTGCCAAGGGCTTTCAGCGTATCTGACTCTGCCCATTTTTCTGCTCAGTTTGCATTCTGTGAGCACGTGCTGCTTCCTGTTCTATGCCGTGGGATTCAATTGTCTCTTTTAATGCACGCTGTTACTTCCTTAAAACAACCCCAAGGTCAGCTTATTCATTTCTGAATAAAGATACAGATGCTGTTCAGCTGAGCTTGTCTTCTGGTGATCGTATCCATGCAGTCTTCTTGGCAGCATTATGCAAATAGCTTGCCATTTCTCTCTTCCAGGCTAGCCTCTCCGCATCGTCCGTCCAAGTATTAACCCTGCTTAATTTCTGGCAACAGTCAAAGCTGGCTTTGGTGCTGCCACCTACTGTAAAATTAGAATTTAAGGGAGTCTCAAACCCAGCTGGAGAAATTTCTGCTTTCTCCAGAGCACACAGTTCCCTTGAAAAATGGCAGGAGTGTCTGCAATCAGAGCCCTGCCTTGCTGTGTGTGTTGCAATGCTTTGATTGTACCGTTGTGGCTTCCTTCTTGACTTTTTCGACCCACAGACAGCCCTGAACAAAGGGAAGAGCAAGTCACCCATTTTAAGTTTGGCTTTGCTCCATAAATGGAATAAATCTTTTATAAATTGTACACAACCGTTATTGGTGAGGATAAGAATGATTTGTTCCTTATTTCAGTGGAAATGTGTATAAGAACATCCACACTTAAGGTGGTAGGTAATCCTTTAAGAAATTGACAAATATCTTGGGCTATCAGGAATAAGGCATGGCAAACTTTCAATAATGTTCTAGTTAGCTTTAATGATGTGAAACAGCAAGACAGGCCCTTATGTAAATGTTGGTGCTTGCCAAGGAAAACAGAGTGCGGAAATGGTGAACAGGACAACCAGGCAGAAGATCAGGAGAACGTATCTGTAAGCACCAACTGGAAGTCAAAAGGCATGATACTTATTTAGTAATCTCCTCCACACAGACAAGTAGGGTATAACTTCAGCTAGGTAAGAGTCGAAATTTTAGAACAACCTGGATTGAAAAATCCAAGAGATTCTTCGAAGAATGGCGCTCTGGCCAAGCCAAGGTCAACAGACATATAGACTTAAACCTATCTATGGGCCTATCCAAAGACAATGTGGATGCTTCGTTCACATAAACTGCTACCACAGATGTTTCCCCCAATCACTTATAACCCACGTGGTAGAAAGAGACACCTAACCCTCGCCACCCAACAAACCTGACTTCCTAGTCTCTCCTGCACTGATGATATTGCTTAGCATGTTGATAAAAAGCTTGCAAGCCCAAAACGTAGCCCAGAGTATCACACAACATCCCAAGCTTAAACTACACGTATCCTCTACTATTGCACTTACATAGAGTTTTCCCCAAAAGTGATGTGGAACTTGAACTGAAGATTGCTTGAATTTTACTATGCGCTTGAGTAAAATTATACTCTGGCGGGTATTGAGTTTTGGAGTCTGAAAGAAACGAACCAACCTGACCCGTGCCAGGATCGCTCAATCCTTCTTCCCTGCCATGATGTACCAAATTCAGTCTGGTTCCATCTACGCTTATTGTTACGAGGACGGTTCTTTTATCTAAGCCAATTCAGTAAAAGGAGGCCCAGTCTGTATTTGCTATTTCATTTAATATGCTGTAACTATCGGAACTGCCAGAGGAAAATGGAAGCCATCCATTTGGGGGGAAAAGAGCCCAGCATGTGTTTCCTTTGCTGAAACGCGTTGCCGTGACTTTCTGACCCTCTTCTTCCCACATTTGTTTCAGCTCTTGAAACACGCGCTCGCATTCGCACGCCTGCCCTTCCTCCCCGGTCCTGATCTTCATTTCTGCTACTTCTCGTAACCTGCGTGGTGGCGGGGCAGGGACACGTGAAGTGCCGCGTGCACGTTTAAACTGCATCAGTCTGTTGCAGAAAAAAATAACCCTGTCTAATTGCTCCATACATACATACATTTCATAGTCCTCAAGGTGCCATGCCAGGATTCCACAAAAGGGCCCCAAATCACATTCCGTGTCCTTGACAGATCTATAATAGCCCTCCCCAAATCAGCAAAATAGAACTTTTTTATTGGCAAAACGCTTATTCCCGAAAGCAATGACCAACAGTATAAATGCGTAAGACACGATGAAGTATCTGCATGTGTGTGTATATGGGTCAGCATGTCTACACACACACGCACACGCACACACACCCATACCCCCACCCCAATGTTAAAGCTCAGAAAAACACTGCAGAGCAGCTAGTTGGGCAAACTAATCAGAAAGCTTTTTCCTCTGGATGCAGTACTTACATTTGAGTAACTTTCACTCTTGCTCTATGGTTTCTCTTGCTGTTCATGTTGTAGATGAAGTTAGATTCTAGCAGCGGCTTTTTAAAATTTATCATCATTTACAAAGCAGCAGGAAAATATGCGGTGCAAACATGGAACGATTGTTCTGTCCCGCTTTTGCACGGGGAGTGCATTGGAGTGGGTGGGACCCAGGGCCACGTCTCAGAACATGTCTACATCAACCTTGCCTCGGCTCTGTTTCTCAGCCTCAGCGACTTTAAGATGGGTGGAATTCAACTCCCAGAACGTCCTAGGGTGGTCACTAAAATTGAAGACCAAGGGGCTGACCTTGAAGGTAGTCTGAAAGCCCCAACCAACATGGTGACCCAACCCTGCTGGCCAGAAACAGCCGTTGTCTCTTGCCAGCCAGGGTTTCCTCTTCCACTCAACTGTTGCTGGACCTTGTACTGCTGCTCATGAAGCCCTTCATGGTTTGGGGTCAGAGTATCTGAACGGGCAATTCCTCCCCTAGTTTCCCACCCCCAGTTGGAGAAAGGGATCCTTAGAGGCAGCAGCTGTTCAAAACTAGCCCCTTAAGTGAAGAGGAGCAGCTCCGTTAGCCATCAAAGGCTGCCGAATTTTAAATTCTCTCTTGATTGTTAATTTTCTTCCACTGCTGGGCGGGTGTTTCGATTTTTCAGAGCTGCTGTTTGCACTAACTCCTTCGATTGCCATATTGTTGACCTCTAGACCTTGAAATGCACTGGAATGTGGCCCGTGTATTTTTGGTTTCTATTTTTGGGTGCTTGTTCGTTATTAAAAGCATTTTATCTTTGGTTTGAATTTTCTGTTTCAGAACACGTTTTAGCAAGCAGGTTACGTATTGCAGATCATCTTGACAGACTTGGAGTTAAGTTCTCGAAACGAAGCCGTCTTGGAGGCAGCGTGCCCTTGCCGATCCTCTTCCATAAAGGGAGGCTTCAAGTTTTCAGACAAGCTATGAAGAGAGGAATGTCTGTGTGTGTTGCACGTGTGCACAGCGAAGTGAAGATGGTGGCTGCAAGCATGCAACTGAATCCTTGCAATTTTTCTACGTACGCTGCATTGTTTCTGCCGAGATATTCATTACACAGAGCGACCTAATTTAGCTGTTGTATCTCACTTTTTCCATTTATTAGCTTAAAGCTAAACCCATTATGCCATCAGTGCACTGAATAGATTTTCTGACCAAATTTATTATTAAAAAAATCAATTTATTTATTAGAACTCCATTTATAGTAATAAATGAAAAAAAAAGGACAGGGAACTTTGTACAAGAGTTATGTACAGCTTGCAAGTAAAACATTATTTATTTTACAGTACAAACATTAGCGAATCAAGTGAGCTGGGCTGACCAAATGTTGGTCATCATCGTATATCCTTGCAAAGCACCATCATACAGACATTTATGAACGTATTAGTTGGATTAAAAAAAAAGAGAGAGTTAACGAAGTTTAAAAGCTAACAAAAACAAAGCAAGAACATTCAAAGGTTAAAAAGCAGCAAAGGATCCTTCATTTAGACACAAGATTTGCTTCAGTCTCTTTGCTCAGAGCTTCCTCACCATTTCCCCCAAATTGGCTAAAAAAATGGCACAAGACCCAGACTCCTTTTTCATTTGGGGTGGGGAGGAGACTGGTATAAACCTCCACTTTCAATTTCTCGTTGACATCCTCTGCCACTGTGAATCTTCCTTCCCTAGTTTCTTTCTTCCTTTTGGAAGTTAAAAAAGGAATTTCTCTACAGCGATTTCCACGGACAGCCTTGGTTGAATGTATTTACAGTACAAAAGTGGTCCTTGGGATCAAATTAACCAATATCCAAAGCTAATGAAAATATGTCAGTGTAAATCCAGAACCTCCTTTTTAGGCCCATTCAGCACGAAGCTAGAATAATAAAAACATATTTTACATCTCTATGAGGTGTTACAGTGTTGAAACACTGCATTTTCCCATTTAAAAAAAAATCCATTCCTTTATAAAGATTTAACTACTGGTCAAGATGTTTAGCTATTCCTTTCATATTTTAAAAAGAGTTGACACATTTAAAACCCTTAAGTAAAAGCTAGCAACGTTATTACCATGTTTCAATGGATTCTTACAGATCATATTTATTTAAAGCAATTAAAAATAATTCCAAGTCTTTTAAAATGAAATAATATTGCTTTACTTACAGAGAATGTGCCCCGGGAGGGTCTATTTCAAGAAAAAGCATTTTAGAACTAGTTTTCCTAGCTTTATGTGTTCACCAAAGCAAATTATTCACTCTTTAGAATCCAAGAGAAGATGAGGAGATGCAAAATGTTGAAATGAGGTAAGACAGCTTTCCTTGCCTACGGACCTGCAGCTATCACACATTTGATGCGTGCCACTAAAACTATGGGTCTGTGGCCAATTGAAGATTTTCTTCAAGGAGGGGTGGAATAAATGGGAGGAGACCTGTGCTCGTCCACATCAAAACGTGGTATCTGCAAAGGGTTAGTATATTGGTTTTACAGCTTTTGATTGGATCAGACTAATCAATAAAATTCATTGTTCTTGTTGCAAAGGGTTAGTAGGTCTCTCCTCAGTACTTCCTGATGCTTCTTAAAAGTCTGAGAATGACTCTACGGTTGGGTTCTTAAGTGTTCTCTGAGCTTGGCTGTGCACAGATGATGTGACCGAGCCTGGTGAGAAGACCAAGGACCCCACAATTCAAGTCGGAGCTATTTATGTTCTCCACCACTGGAATGGATCTGCTACAGGGCTCTGCAGCTTTTGTCTCCCTGCTGGGAGCAAACTGCTATTGGGTGAAACAAGAAATTCTGGGGAAATGAAGGCGTGGAGGAAACCTATTTAGATTTGCAAATCAAACCTTAAAGAAAGACACCATTTCATTACGTTTGCATGGAGCCATCTGAACAGCAACTAAACCGTGGGAATCCTTTGCCTCAGTGGGGGTAACTTCTGGTTCACAAAGACATTAAACAGGTTTTGGAGATCCTTGGTGTGACTCAAGGCAAGAACCACCTTACAGGAGAAAGTGGCACAGAGACACTTTGGCAAGAGAAAAGATCGCTGCTAACACAAGCACATTTCTGAACTGACAATGCAAAGTTCTGCATTCCCCACTGCAAGTTTGTTCATGCCAATTCAATCAGAATAGTGCGCACTGAAAGAGAGATACAACAATGAGAAATTAATTCTCTCCAGCACTGTTTCACACATCTCGTGTTTCAGGTGACCCCGTATCTTTTGGACTAAAGCACTGTTTTTCAACCCCCAGAATTCCCCAGCCAGCATGTGTATTTATGCACCCAGAAGGGTTTGAAGACACGTGCCTCAACTTCAGAAAACAATTCCACAAAGTGGCCATAAATTAGCACAAAGTGGAGCAACGACATTTCCCAGGGAGTGTCTGAAATGTCTGTATCCTCTTCAGTCCCAAAGTTTGCAGTTCAGAGCGTCCTTAAGAAAAGATTCAGCTGCTCCCTGTCTGCAAACCAAAAAAACTGCACGCTGCAATCAAGGAACTGCTGGAGTTGGAGAGCTTCTCACATACTTTCCGGTAACATGTCATGAAGACAACCTAGCAACCTCTTTTTATCATCGAGATTAAAAAAATCAACAGCACATGGAGCTCGGAAAATACTTCGACGAAGAGGAGGTTCGGAAACAGGCATTCACAGTGGTTCAGGCTTAAGAAGTGAACTTCTGCCAGACAGCAGGGAGCAGCTTGTTGGAGTCACACGCTGCAAGGACTGGCCTCGGCTGGATCAACACCGCCCCAGCGAGAAGGGGCATTTCCGATCACGGATGCATCCAGACTGAAAAAAGCGTTCGCATGTTGCTCGATAAAGAAAAATGGCATGATTTAAAATACAAGCTGTACGTGGCGATTAAGTGCACGTAGAGTCACGGGATGTACTGCAAGAATATAGGTCTTCCTTTACATTAAAGGAAGAGCCCAACGTTAATTTTTATAAATATGCCACCTATATGTTTTATTCTTTGATTGTGTGCTTAAAAAAAATAGGGCACCTGTTTGGGGACACGGAAGCCTACTGAAGCTGGGAGAAGTGTTTTTTCCAGATGCAATTACCCTCGTCTCAAGTCTGAAAACATTACTGACCTGGTAGAATTCATCCGATTGCACTGGCAGGAAGAAACGAAAAGCCTTTCTCGCACACGCCCATAAGTGCGCAGGCACACACATTCTCGCAAAGAGCCCGCTCATCAAGGACTCAGACCCCAGGACTCTACTCACGGTGAGAGAGCAGCAGCGACCCAGCGGTACGTCTGCTCCCTCTCCTGCAGCCACAGAAGTGAAACTCTTTTTGAAGAAAAAGAGAGCACGCCAACTCCCGTTCATGGAGACAGATGACTTTTCCAATCCCACAAGAGGCTGTATCTTGTGTCAGAGAAGGAGTGTGCGTGGCCTAGCTCAGCTCGATCCGTTCCCCATCTCACGACAAGCAAGTCCTGAGGTGCAAGCGCCAAGCGAACAGCCTCCCCACTAAAAAAACCAAAGGCACGCAGCTCTGCGCTGGCGCGCCGCGTCTGGATCTGAAAGAGGTGCAGCAAGGCTCGGCTTCTCTACTGGGTGGCTGCTTCATAAAGAAGCTGCACATTTTCCTGGGCTCGGGTGGGATCCCCACAGGCTCAGGCCCACACGTGGCCGACTAAAGGGGGAGGAGGCCAACAGAGTGCCGCAAAGTTGATCCACGTTGCTGCCGGCTCCTTAATTCAACTGTGTGTTTTCCTGGGGCTCGGTGGCTACTCGCCAAGGCCAGGAAAAGGCACTGCTTCCTTATGGAGCTGCTCACAGGTAGCGAGAGAAAGTGCCCCCACTCCAGGTCAGAAGCATCCTTGCCCACGTTGGACCCAACGAGAAGATGTTTCTACAGCCTTGGACAAAGCCACGCGCAACACAACGGTGGAACTTCAAAGCAGGGACAAAGAGCTGGGAACCCAGTACGTTTGGGACAATTCAAAGGGTGAGAATTAAAGGAAGTGTTCAGAAGCGTGTGTGAGCATGATGCTTTTAGTGCTCTAACAGCTCCATTTTTGTAGAAAACAAAGCCCTTGGTGTACCGTTAGTGATCTGTCCCAACAGCTTTCTTCAGGTTTAACTCTGGCCCATCAGAGTTAAAAACATTCAGTTACTCAACTCTTTGCAGATATTTTTTAAACGCTGCTTGGTCATGACGGTCCTTTCATTCTTTTCCTTGTCTCTTTTTTTTCCTTAAAAAAAAATCATCTTCTTTGTCTTCTTTTTTATATTTGGCTCATTGACAGCAACATCTCCTGGTCTTTCCACACTCAGTCCCTTCACTGATTTAAGGCATCTTCTTGTGTTCCATTTGGAAAAATAATAATTAAAAAAAACTCTGTATACAAACTTTAAAAATTTCTTATGTCACAAAGCAGCAATCTCTGTTTTAGGAAAATATATAAATAACCTCTTCACTCCCTCCCTCTCCCCATTCTACAAAAGGCAGCCTCCCCATTTCAAATACTTTAACTGTACACAGGAGACCCTGCCCTCACGTCCTCGACAGGGGCAACGCTATTTACACAGCTGAGCTGGAAGCAGTCCGGGGGGGCACCTCTCAGGAGGAATCGGTGCAAGGAGAAGGTGGCGGGGGGTAGAGGTGGTGCGTGTAGCTCCGTTCTGTGTACGGGGATGGCGGGCAACTCTCGTAGTTCTCCTCTGCCGACAGGTACTGGCTGCGTGGCGTCGGGGGCGGCGGCGTGGGCTCAGAATCGTAGTTGAGATCGCTGGCATAGCCTTTGCCCCCCATCGTCATCACCCGCCGGCTGGGTGCGTAATCACTGTCACAAACGTCTGTACTGCATGGGGTAGTAGGAGGTGCAAAATGGCGGTAGCTGTAGGGCCTGTAACTGGACAGAAAACATTAAGAGGCACGTAAGCACGAACTTCTGAAAACAACTGCAGGTCTTCTCGAGCCATGCGATGTGTCACCCGCGGCCACTGAGGACCAAATGCCTTTTGGATGGACTTCCTCTTACAGAGTGAGCGGCGGCTCTTAAGTTAAATGGAAAACCAAAATGGCTCCACGTGCGTCCCCCGTCAAGCAGGCTTTTAAAAACAGAGGATGCTCCGTACTTCCGTGGCTGCTGAACCAGGTCTGTCTCCCAGCAAACAAGCAGGGAGAATTTCACACGTTCAGCAGAAACCCTTACAACGGGCCCTTCTTTTCTCCAGATGCGATACAAATCACTGCCGCGGACCGGCCGGGAAATATCCCGAACCCGTCTGCAAGCGGCCCGAAACTCAGGCTGGGGACGTGGGGCCTTACCTGTATGATCGGTGTGTAGAAGGGCTGTTGGAAGAATAGCCAAACTCCATTGTGTAACGGGAGTCCTCCGTGGCCGGTGATGGAGGAGGGTTCAAAATCTTTAAAGGGAGGACAGAGGGAGCGTCAGCGTTAAGAGAACCACAATATTGCGCTAAGGGAATATTTTCTGCCATCCTACTAGGGCTGAGCGCTGAACCGGTTTGTTACATATACTACAGTGCTACTTGTAGAGGTATTTTCTTTTCATTTATTTCATTTACATCCAGATTCCTTTCCCTCTGGTGTAACTACAAGCCATGTTTCCCACTTGGATCCTGACCACCTCCAGATCAATTTGCGTTCCGTGTCCCTGTTCCTTTCAGCTGGAATTGAATCCTTAAGGGAAATATTTATTTAATAACCTTATAAGTCACTCTTCTACTGAAGACCCAAAGCAGTCCACAGAGAATAAAGCAAAACGCATCAACAATTATAGCTGTTCATTCTCAGGTCCCATGATAATCTTTCTTGCAGTATGTTTTCTTCAAACGACATTAAAACAAACACAAAAATGTTTATTTTACTCATTCTATTCATTATTTTCTCCCCTTCCTTCTTGAACCACCCATTCTTCATAAATAAAATTTAATCTGGCCAACAGAGTAATTTATTAAGATAATTTCGCCACAGCCAAAAAAACCCTCCATCAATACAAATTAAACTTTATATATTAGTGAGCATCACGCTCAATTACTCCACTGGATCCCCAGAATCAAGCCGGAGCTCCCACACTATGCGTACCACACTGTCCTTCCCACAGGGATGCCTAACCATTTCATTTTTTTCCTGCAATTTTAAGCAAATGCTCCAATTTGCACTTTTTGAAAGAACATAAAAACAAGACATACTTTGGGCTTCATATTTGTGGTAACTTTCTTGGCACAACCCCCAAACCAAAATACAAAGTACAGAGGCATCTTAGTTGTTTTTCTGACCAAGAGATCAGAGTCTTCCTTCTGCAAGACCTTACTGGGAAGCCATGAAAACAGTTGTCAGGTTTCCACCAAGACCCTCTGCTCATTATTAATTGTTTCAGGTTTGGCTTTCTGTATTTTAAAATTTGTACTCATATTTTATTGGTCTGGAGGAAGGAAGGAAGGAAGGAAGGAAGGAAGGAAGGAAGGAAGGAAGGAAGGAAGGAAGGAAGGAAGGAAGGAAGGAAGGAAG